CAATGTTAAAAGGAAAAGCCTTAATTGCCCAACTTCCGGTGCCCACATTGTTCTGTATAATTTCTATTGGGTGAACGGACAGCCAATAGCGAAGAAGTAACCAGTAAATTTGAAATAAACCAGCGACGCGGGAACTTTAAAATTTCACTCCTACTTTCCACGCCTTAATTAATTAAAAAATTCACAATAATAATTATAAGGATTTTATGGAAGAAAAAAAGTCAAATTAGGGTAGCAAAATTTAGTATTTATTGAGCATATTGATATTATACAATTTCGTAATTTCATTAGTAATAAACAGTACACCTGCATAATTGCAACTTTAGTATTTGCTTGTAGATATGCCAAATTAATACTATGGAATACTACATTATTTACAAGCATTATGAATAAACAATAACAGAATTGAAAAGAAACAAATTAAAATACTACCGCAAATTTGCCCAGGTAAAAGAAATAGTTATGATACAAGGGGTAAAAGCGCCATTTTATTTTTGAACTGATTAGGTCACATGAACGTATTTTGTTTTCTTTGTTACTTTCAAAGTTTTATCATAACATTTTAGCATTGTCCCACTTTCAGCAGTAGTGCACAAAATTGAGCTTTTAGCATGCTCCGCATGCCTGGAAAGAACCGCTTTTACTAGTTGCAACCTAAAAATGTTTTTCATTAGTCAATTTTTTAATATTTGAATATTTTATTTACCCCATGTAATCTACACCATTGCACATTCAGTGCCTGGCTTTTTTAATGGATCCACAGTGGTAAAAGTACCTATTCATCTTTAAAAACAATGATTAACAAATAGTGGAACTTCAGGTGCTTATGCACTACAGATTTAATAATAATTCTGAAATGGACTGTAAAGTGAAATATTGATTGCACCAGAGCAAAGCTGGACCTTCTGAACTGGGCAATGTTCTAAATAACTGACTATAGAATCAACATTGCATTCACGAACTGCACAAAAACAATTACAATCTAAATAAGGATCAGCATTCAATCCAGAATGCGTAATTGGCATTGACGGAGAACAAAACAATGATCCAGCATACCAGAATATAAATTGAATCAAGATTGTGTTTTGTCATGAGAACTATTATTTGTCAGAAAGTTAAAATACCATAACGCAACGTATATTCAATACTAAAAAAATAATCTAATAAGAAAGAACAATAGGCAGACTAGATAATAGCATTAAAGTAAATTCTAAATGCATGAAAATAGCCTCTGAACTCGCAACCTTTTATTAATAATATTCAAATAAAGTGTCTTAACTAGCAAGAGGCATTCAAAATTTGAGAAAATGATCATGCTTTACAGAATTATTTTATGCTTAAATTTTATTTAATTAGAACTTTCAAAATCAATGTGGCGAGAATACAGTTTATATAATGGATCTGTACCAATGCAGTATACACAACTGATTTAAACTCTCTTGTTTTACGCTTTATAAACTGTCACGTAAAAAGAAATATGTCTAGAAATTTGTGCACAATGAGCGAGTTATTCACTGCATATAACAATAATTCTTTGAAATTATCTCTCGAGTTTTTGACTCCTCCAAGTGAACATAAGCCATCTTAAATGTCAAAACTCTGCGTAATTGCATGCTTCAGCAGCCATCTCTGGAAAGTCTGTAAAAGCAAAAAATGATGTTAAGAAGATAATACTATGTCCTCAAATGAATGTTTCTGAAAACAAATCTGCTTTCAAAAAGAAAGATTTCTTTAATTCACGCATCTAGAATTACTGAAATTAGAAAGCGCAAGAATATCGCTGCCTTACCACAGACGAACAGGCCAGCAATTCATCTCCAGAATGACTACTTCCTACTGTCACAGAAGTACAGTAGATCTGTAACACGCGAAAGAGTTTTTATGTACTATAATTTGCCCTCAATTGCACTAATAAACTGTATATTGGAAAGGAACATACCATGAGAAACGTCCAAAAACTTGAGGTGACACCTCACATGGTGAAAAAGATCTGAAAATGGAGGACAAACTATGAATTATCATCTTCAATAATGCAACAAAGTACAATAATTGAGATTCTTAAAGATTATAGCAGTATTTACCTTTCACAAGGCTAGAATAAGCATACTGCTGCACTTGATTAGCCAGCATGTTCAACAGCAACTAACCTTATTAATCCAACAAAAATTGCAATACATTATGCTTCATAGCATGCTTCTGTTTTGCATTATCAAAGCATACAAGCAGACTTACCATTTTCAGTTTTAAAAATGCTTAGCGCTGGTGTGTACAAGCTCACTTGACTATAGTAATTAACAAAAAGGTGTATCAATAATGCCGTCCGATCAAACTATACATATGGTCTACCTTAAAACTATCAAAATATTCCTTATAGTAATGTTCTATTAAAAATCTTAACAATTAACACCTAGCAGCTGGGTGTCACCTCGCTTGGTCCAAACAAGGGATCTGCAACTGAACATGAACATTAAAAAAATTTCCACTATTTGTTACGCACCCATCATCTTCTCGAAGCCAAAATGCACGCTTCAGACTTCAAACAGTAAATCACTTCATTTCTCTAATTCACTGACTGCGATATGGCGTTAACAGCCCTACTAACAGCACGTGAATATAAACCATAGGTCGACGAGGAAGGAATCCAACGGTAACCAACCGGCTCGTTTGCGAAAAAATTTCAAACTGAAAAAGTAGTTCACCGATTCTCCGCTTGAGCGAGTTGGTGTTGTACAGATGTATATGGCGTCGCCCTGAACTCTGAGGTGCTACTGTATGGAATTTGAATAAGGACCGGATGTGCCCTATCTAGTGTCACCCCACTGGTACTTACATAAAATGGCAGAAAGAGAAATAACTCACAGATATGATTCATTCACAGAATCATTGATACACAAACCACTCGTGTGAACGTATGTCTGGAACATACAATTCCAGGAACTCTCGAATGTCGTAGCTGAAACTTAGTAATACAAATTGCAAGAAAGTGGCCGGTGTGGTTCAGAACTCCAGTACAGACTGCAATCTGGTTACTTGCTGTAGTGACAGAGTGATAACATAGCGTATAGAAGAAATAGTGTGATGGCCCCACGGCTAAGCGCGTTTTACAAGGTCACTTTACAAATTGGATGAAAAGTTCGTTTATACGTGGTTATATTTCGGTAACGATAGTGGATGAGCAAGATCCAGTGTTTAACACAGTCGTTTCGTTTCTTGCACGCAACCGGATCGAGATTATTTCCTATGTACGCCGCTAAAATCGCGAAGATCAAACAGTTGAATATCGCAATTAGTATGTGTTTTACTCGCGCTACTTTTCTTGAACGATGGATTGAAGAAATACGGGTGGAGTGGGGGTATTATTTACGAAAATTGGCCACTATATTTTATAAAGCAATGTCAATTTCTGGATAATCAGAAATACATTTGCAATGTTCTGAATAATTTGCGTTCTACGTTTCTCAGGAGTGCGAGGTATCTCCTGTAATAGATCTTCACCTGCTACGGTCATTTCTTTAGATTGCTTGGAGAAAATAAGGGATAGAAGTTCTCGCCTTCAAAAGAAAATTGTTTCTATTTCATCCCAGTTAAGATGTTTGGAATGATATCAGTGCTCGTTGCGAGCTTTTGCCTTTATCTGTTTATTGTGCTAGAAAAGGGGAAGTAAGGTCATCGTTCAAGAAAAGTTGCGCGATTAATATGTATATTACTCGCGCAATTTTTGAACTATGGATTGAAGAAATGCATGTAGAGTGGGAGGCATTAATTACGAAATCAGCCACTAGGGTTTATGAAGCAATGCCAATCTCTGGAGAATCAGACATTCCCAGGTCATCCCTTCGCAACATTCTCAATAATTTGCGTTCTAAATTTCTCAGGAGTTTGAGATAGTATCTCTTGTGATAGATCTTTACCTGCTTCAGTCATTTCTTTAGATTTTTTGGAGAAAAGAAGGGATAGAGGTTCTCGCTTTCAAAAGAAAATTGTTTCTATTTCACGCCAGTGAAGATGTGTTTGGAATGTTGTCATCAGTGCTCGCTGGGAGCTTTTGCCTTCGACTGTTTATTGCGCCAAAGTGTGTGTGTGTGGGGGGGGGGAGGAGCGAGGTCAGCGTTCAAGAAAAGTAATACACGAACAAGTAAGTAAATGTATCACTGATGTCCAGTAACTACAATATTTAATTGAAAGGGCTTTCTGGATGCTATATTGCTTTTAGATTGTGTCGGTTTAGGTATTTTGTGTATTCCAAGTGTGTTCATGTGGTCTATTGTTTTTGGTGCTTGATGGCTTACCCTACATTCTTACCCTACATCTGATTTTTCAATGTATTTTTTGTAGTTGTTGGTAGCAGTCACCTGATACTGGATGACATGAATCTTGAATGACATGATCCTGGATGACCTGGATGGCATCCATCAGCATTTTCCGGAGGATGAGGAAATCTACCTCGGAGACTTTTGTGCTTCCGTGATTGTATTCTGTCATCAGGGATGATTACATTAGGATAATTGTCTTCATCCTCCAAATTAAGTGGAGTACCCTCTTTGCCACAAATGGAATTTTCATTGCTGTCACTTACTTTTGTCACAGGGATTTAAGGTTTATTATACTTTTTTTGGTGTCAACTGGGCCACCTAGGACCACGCGGACATACACCTGCACTTTCCGAAGCTCAGTAAACGTATTCCGTGGTACGTGTTTGCGATTCCTTTTAGGGAGGGAATCAGTATTACGCTGAATCCTATTTTTTATCTCCGAGAGTTGCTTGTTCTTGGGGGATGGAAGATGGGACAGACACACACAGACACAAACTCGAACCTGCAATACACATACAGACACACACAAACTCGAACCCACAATTCTTCTGCCTTTTTAGGTCGTACTGCCTTAGCAATCTCTGCTATCCAGTTCGGCCTAATTATTGTTATTGGTGTTGTTGTTGTTGTTGTTGTTGTTGGTGGTGGTGGTGGTGTTGGTACATTTAACACCTGTGTCTGTTCCAGCGGCCATGGGCGGGTTTAACATTGGCACCGCGCTGGGCTGGACCTCCGGGAGTTTGATTCTGATCCAAATGATCAGGGGCGAGGAGGACGCCTCGTCAGACGCGTGGATCGAGTCCACCCTCTACCTCGGGGCCATCATCAGTCTGGTTGTGGCGTCGTTCATCATGGACGTTCTCGGCCGCAAGTGGAGTCTGGTGCGTACATCAAATCCCGTATCGACTGGGTTGTTCAGGGCGACAAGTGGTGTCACTGCAATGCCTCTAACTGGGAGGTCCTAGGTTCGAGACTCAACGGAGGCAGAATAATCTGGACACTGGCGAAGTGGAAATCTACCGATGTCTGGAGGTGAATTCCAGTGACCGGCTTCTCTCGTCGGTTGTTTTACGCGGTTTCTCCCATCAACACCAGGATAATGCCGGAGCAGTACCCTAGCAAACGGGCAAAGGACCGCGCGCGATCTTTCCTTCCTCTTCGTTGTGCTATTCTCACCCCTCACTTACACACACCAACACCAACATGTATTAGCCAAGTACGCACGCAGAGAGACCAGTTGGGAGCACAGAGCTTGTCCGGCTGAGGCAGTGCCCCGCTGGTGGGAGATACCTGGATGGAAAAATCCGCGATAGGTCGCCACCGGATCGCGCCATCTAGCAGGGGAAGATCATTGCCACCTCCCGCGATGAAATCATACAGCGAACGTACGGGACGTGCACGGAACCACTAATCAACAACAAAACGTCAACACAGGAAGTTAATGCATGCACTCTCCTCTTAAACAGATTATCAAATCAAAGTTACTTTCTATTTGTGTTTTATTTTTACTCTCAATTGACAATTTAAAACCAGCCAGGATTTAAATCCTCCATTTCTTTGCTTTAGCAGAGAAAATGGGAAAGAACGGAGCTTAATTTGCAGCCATAACTGTCAACTGACGTTCAAAAAGACTGTCACGGAACAGGAAGTGGTGTGCGGTCAGGGCCATTTGACAACCCTGCAAAAAACACTCAACTGGTCGAGATATTAGAGCTTGCCCCCGCCGATGCGATGCCCCATTGGTGGGAGATATCTGGTTGGGGAAAGCCCCTGCAAGCCAACGGGTACGTTGGAACAGGATCTCGCCATCCAGCGGGAGAAGATCACTGCCACCTGCCGCGATAAAAAATCCACTAAACGTACGGGGCGTGCCCGGCATAACTAATTAACCAACCTATTGTAGCGTCGTGCCACGCTCAAAACAGACAACCACGTGGAAATCGACGAAGCATCGCCGGATGTTACACAAAGGGCGGAGTGATGACGCACTGGGACTTTCCGTGGACGTAGCGGGCCCAGATCGGCTTTGGGGAGGAGGCAATGGGGGCGGCGGGTAGAGCCAAAAGGGCCTATAGAAGGTGAGGAGAACAATGCCCCTGTCTTCTTGTTCTAGCGGCGTCGGCGACAGGTGAAGCGCGTGTCTGTGCGTGTAGGTGCACTAGGGCGAGGGGCCGGCAATTCACTGTCGTGACTAGCGAGACGCGTAGATGGTCTCAAAGTAGAGCGGCTTCATACAGGGAACATCGGTGGTATGTTGCGGTGTGGTAGCCGTTCTTAAATTCTCTCTCCTTGTAGTGGGTCTATTTATTTAATTTATTGTGAGCAGGGTAGTTGTTAAATTGCGACTACGGTCTAGATTGTTAATAAAGCTACTCTTTTACAAACCACTCTCGTCTGTGTTCGATTACACCCGTATGACGCCACACTATGAACCGGCCGAGAGCTGAGAGCTTGCCCTGGCCGGGGCAGTGCCCTGTCGGTGGGAGACGGGGGTGGACGAGGGAGCCCGCGCAAGCCGAAGGGTAGGTCCGCGTCATATATTCCCCCTCCCCCATTTGCAGTGGCGATGGTGTACGTGTTGGCATATCGGACTGATATACCCAAGTTCGTGGGTTCAAACACGATCGAAGCCGTGGATTTTTAACGCCGAAAAAATCCTTCGTACACCGTCCTTCGGAGGGGACGTAAAGACGGCCGTCCCATGTTAGTATATTTACTGCATGTAAAAGATTCTCTATATGAAGCCTATATGAAACCTCTGAGATAAATTCAAATCATCTGTTTCGTCGACCAAGAAATACCTCCTTTCTCCGGTAGTTGGTGAAAGGAGCGTAACAAATTTTGCGAGGTAAGACGGAAGAGCAGGCCTTGTGGCCTGAGTCTCACCACGTAAAATAAGGCATCAATTCAATTTAATTCAATTCAATCATCTAAGAAGGAATCACTGCCACAACCCTGGAAACAAAATCTCTACTTTCTAGGAATTAATGAGCGTAGTAGTTGACCCTTCCAGTTTTGTTGACCTTAGCATTATAGCAAGGTTGAATAACTGCAGGTATATCAAGGTCGCGATCACGATAACTATTTTACTAGAGATCGCGGACACCGGGCGAGATTTAAAAATAAGGGTTGCCAAATGTCCCTGGGTTGTTGGTACATCACTATCTCGCTCCAAGCTGATAAATTATAGATCTTGTTTTCTTTTCAATCATATTGGGAAATAAATTTTACAGTTACAAAAGGAAATCATCTTTTCACTATATTTTTGGCGTTTAGAAAAATTTTTGTAGAAACTTAAAAAGATTGTGTTTCAAATTAAGTAAGAATGATGTATCAGTATGATAATCAATATGACATTGGTTTTGGAGTGAATTAAACACCAATTTTAGTATAAACTTTTTGTATCAGCATAAAACATACAAAATATTTATTCTGTTGTAATTGTAACAATTTAAGTAGGTATGCGAACTGTACACACTATGCTGCAATGCTCCGGACAGATTTTTTGGCATAAAGTGCATAACACGGAAGTTTTTCTATCTTCATTTCTCGTGCATTTCTCGTGCAGCGTTTCCTTTTTGTTGGAGTTCTCTAGGTGCTTGTAGGCGGAGAATGATTTTGTGGAGCAATTCCAAAAATATTTGGATTTTTGCAATTCTCAAAAAATCAGGTTTTTTAACGAACTTGAGATTTGCACTATTCTCGTAACGACCTTCGCACTATTCAACACCAAAATTTTATCAAAATCGAGGGGGACTTTTTTTTATTTTAGAAAATGTCCGAGGGGTTTCATGTAAAGAACCCCACGAAACTAAAATATCAAAATCAAGGGATCGCTACATCAGCCAGATCAAGTGGGGAATAAATATCTTGTAGAACATCGGCTGAACGGTGTAGCCGATAGCGGTGTTAGCAGACGGACGGACAGACAGACATTTCACAGTCATTTGATTTTTCGGTAACAAAAGATCCATAAAACATGAATTCTGGCTACACGACGAGTTAAAGAATTTTTTTCTAAGTTTAGCAACAGTGTTTATCCACTTCGTTACCATGGCCCTGGAATAAGTGTTTTTTGTCGCAAAACTGACTTTTTCGCGCAGCAATTCATAACTTTCTATTTACTGCGTAAGTGGCTGCGAATAAGAAAAAAAAGGAACATATTTGACCCTTTAAATTCTTACAAAGTTTGTATCCCGTTTTCGATCCTTCCTGTATTCTTCCAGATCATATCGCTCCCACTCGCCGCGGGTTCCTGGGTTGTCACCGCTCTGGTGGTGATAGATCCGGTGCAGATCGCCATGCGCTTCGGAATTGGCTTGGCCATCGGCATTCACGCCATGTTGTCTCCCGTGTACGTCGGGGAGACAGTCGCGAAGGAAATCCGAGGCGCTCTTGGATTCTTCTTCCAGATCATGCTGAATTTGGGAATCCTGTACAGGTATGACGCGTTCATGACTATATAATGAAGCTTTCGCACAAGGAGAGGGCCATGGAAAACGGCTGGGGCGGGTCAATGTATTAAGTGATTTCACTGCAGCGTCTCAGAGCTGGAGATTCTACGGTTCGAGACCCGACGGTGGCAGGATTTTCGACATTGGCTAGATGCCTAGGTCGGATTCAATGACTGCCTGGAGAAGAATTGTAGCGTCCGGCTGCTCAGATCGGTAGTTTCCCGGGAACACCAGACGAATGCCGGAGCAGTGCACTAACAAACGGGCCCTATTGAAGCCTTTTTCCCTCTTCCTTTATCGTGCGTTGCCTTAAGACGTCACGTTAAAAAATAGAAGTATAGTCAGAATCGTGTATTCGTGGTACAGAAAAAATGGTGTCTGCCCTAACAGCCGTCAGTCTGTCAGCAGATAAAAATCAGCGTGTAAATCGTTGATAGGAATTTTTCAAAGTAGATCAGAGCCCACTCGTGACCCTGCGACTTGCGAAACAATTTCCTTCCTTGATATTAAGAGATTCTTCCCATAAAGCCCCTGCAGCATTTGAGCATTATCTCAGAATCGACTCAAAATTGTATCTTTAACATCCTGGTAGAAAGGAGGGAAATACGCTTAGATAACGTATGTTCGACTTTCAGTGTTATCACTTCTTGAAAATATGCTTTTTAAAAAACGTTTGTACCCTCTCGTACAAATACATTACTAATGATTTTAATTACTTTTTAACAAGTATTTTTATAATGAAAATCATGCATTTTTTAAAACTTAGTTTCCGCAAATTTGAGCAAAAGATAGTCAATTTAAAAACAAGAGTTTCTCAAAAACGTGCCCAAATTTCTACTTCTACAAACTTTTGGAACGAATAGAGCTGTATTCTCTCAATAACATGACGTAGATGGTATTTTGACGTATTAATTATATTTTTTAATTTACATAATTGTTTACAACAATTTTTAAACGTCCGCCTGTCTGTAAACAACACTACCATCTAAAGTCGTTTATGTAATGTAATCCAAATAGGGTGAGAGAAAGTACTTGAACTTTTGGTAGACTCAGTGTAACTTTTGAGTTGCCTTTTAACCCTCGAATACAATCATGAATTTTCCTACTCCATTACAAAGGCTGATATATTATAATTCTTGATTTTTTTTCGAATCATATTTGGAATTTAATCATTAATAATTTTTACAACAGAAAATCATCTTTTAACTACATTTTCTACGTTTAGAAATATTTTGTTCAGAAATTTAAAAAAAAGTGTTTCCAATTACGTCAGTATGATGTATCAGTGTGATCATCATTGGTTCTGGAGTGAGTTAAACACCAAATTCAGTAGAAACTTTTTGTATTATCATAAAACAGAAATTATGTAATCTTTTGTAATGGTGCCATTTTCAGTAGATTTGCGAATTGTACACACTATGCTGCAATGCGCTGCAAAGGGTTTTGGCATGTAGTGCATGACACAGACGTTTTTCTATCTTCATTTCTCATGCATATTATGCAGCGTTTCCTTTTTATCACTGTTCTCTGAGTGATTGCGAGCGGAGAATTATTTTGTGAAGCAATTCAAAAAATATTCATGGCATTTCCAATTTGCCTGTTGATGAGAATATTGCTGATTCTTTTCTGCATATAAGGTTTGATCATCTCTCTAGAAAACTAATCTAAAGTCAAGCCATGCCTTTATGCTAATTATGAAGCTACTTTGTAAATATTAGGAAACCATCTCGGGCAGCAATGTCCCAATCATTAAGAATAAAGCAATTGGCCACCGTTTTGTAAATTTCTTGCTTGTGTAAGTCACAAGTTTATTGTTCATTACATCCACTCCGCTTTTTGTGTAATTGAACATTTTTATAATTCCCATTTAAAAGGGGAGGAATGCCAACTACAAAAATAATTACATATTGGTAAAGGAATAAATAGACGGATGGCGTAAGGGGGTCCCAGAATTGCAACCACGTATTATTTTTGGTAAAAAACTTCAAATCCTCACTTAAAAATTGTTGAAGTTAAAAAATGTTACTGTTTGTAATAAATAAAACGGCATTAAAAGCTGCCACAAAGACTCAAATCTCTGAGAAAAAAATTGTAGAAGCCACAACCAGAAACAAACATTCTGGGATCAGATTATCCCCCCCTCCCATTGAGGATCTTTTACTTCAAGTAAACTTCGTGGTTAAAACTTACTGCAACTGAACTTACTGCAAGTAAATTTACTAACATTGGAAAGCCTGCTTTATTTCACCTCCGAAGGAGGAATACGACGAATATTTTCGCCCTTAAAAATCCACGGCTCAGCCATTGTCAAGCTGTTTATTAGACACAATATCATTAAAATTGTCTTATGAGTTTATTTGCGAAGCTTTGTTTCCTCCCTGGACAGACAGCCCCTATATATATATATATATATATATATATATATATATATATATATATATACAGTGTGTGTGTGTGTGTGTGTGTTTCCCGCAAAATGCTTACCTATCATTCCCTTAACAATGTCCTTTTATTTTGCTTCTTTTTGCAGTTATATCGTCGCTTTGAGTGAGGATATCATACTATTGAGCATGTTGATGATAGTCCCCGTTTTAACCATGGTGATTTGGGTAATATTTCTGCCAGAGTCGCCTTATTTTTTGATGAGTAAAGGCAAAGAAGAAGCTGCCAGAGATGCTTTACAAAGACTGAGAGGTCGCACATACAACATCGACAAAGAATTTCTGGAAATACAGAACGTCGTAAGCATTACTTATCGATTGTACCCTAACTTGTTAAAATTTACAAATGTAAGCAGTCTTTGAATTTATATCTGTTTCCCATCGCGGCAACGAATATGGCATTTAGTTTCTTAAGTGTATATTTTTTATCGCGGGATCTGGCGGTGTTCTTCCCCAGTTAGATGGCGAGATCTGCGCTGACCTAAATGTCGTCTTTCGGGGTTTCCCCAACCAGGTATCTCCATTTTCGGGACACCGCCCCAGACGGAACAAGATTTAAGCTCCAGACCGGACTCCTAGTTTATGTAGTAGTATCGTACTATTGCTTTCTTGCTGTAATTTAAGCGCCATAAAACGCCCAGTCATCAATGATTTACATTAGCTAGCACAATTTATTCTTGTAAAGTCTACTCAGGGTTGCTCCGTTTTTGTGGGCTAGAAAATAATAGCTCATACGACATTTAGGCTGAAAACCTTCCATATTGGAAAAAAAAATTGAAAAGTATTATTATTATTGTTGTACCCAAAAAAGTGCACTATTGCTATTTTCGAAATATTGGAGATTTATATGAACAGGAGACCGGCACCATCTCTTAAGCGTCCTTCTCTTAAGCATTCGAGGACAGAGTTTAATTAAATCATTTTTCAGAAAATTTCGAAAATCTTTCTAAGGCTTCATGTAAAGTACCCTTAAACTCAAAATGTCGTTTGGAATTCCCAAAGCCTTGAGTTCATTCATATCGATTAGAGAATATCAGTTTTGGAGAACGGCGGACAGGCGTTTTCCCGTCATTCAATTTTTCGGTATCAAGAATCCCAAAACCATGAGTTCTGGCTGCACCACGTGTTGAGGGATGTAATTAACTATATATACGAACAGAATTTATGCACTTTTTAGATACCAGTGCCCGAAATATAGTTTTTCTGTTAAAACGACCTCTATAAAATTATCGATAGCTCTCTACCAGATCGCCATTTCCTGGTAAGAATCAATTATACTTATTCTAATCAATGTCAACCTACAGCCGGTGTCCCTCAAGGATCATGCCTATCACCTTTACTTTTCAGCATATACTTATAGAGGATATACCAAAACCACCTGACCCAAAAATCGCCCTCTTCACTGACAATACCGTTTTATTCACAGCCCACGAGGATATACTCTGTGCTTATGACAACCTTCAGAACGACTTAACAACATATATCACCTGGTCTGAACAATGGAGAATCAAAATAAACTCTCACAAATCTCAAGCAAAAATCTTCACTCTTCAAAGACCACCGACCCCTCCCTCACTTAAAATTCAAAATTCAATAACAAAATGGCTTCACAAACAAACAGCTGTTAAATATTTAGGACTAATGTTGGATGCAAAATTAACTTGGAAAGACCACATCAAAACAATTACAAACAAAACGTACACAAAAATTGCTAAACTTTATCCTCTTCCAAACTCTAATTCAGCTTTAAGTATTGAATGTGGAACTATAATTTATAAATCGATATTACGACCAACAATCACGTATGCTAGCCCAATTTGGTGTAATGCAGCAAAAACACACATCAAAAAACTACAAATCATTCAAAAAAATGTTTAAGAAAAATAACTAAGGCTCCCTGTTTTATTAGTAACAAACAAATTCACAGAGAATTACGAATTGAGTCAATATAAGACCACATCCTAAAATCCTCTCACAAGTTTTTTGACACTCTTTCAGGATCTCCAGCCACGCCCAACTTCAAACTCGGCAAAAACTACCCAAAACCAAATAGAATATGCTCACGATTTCCCAAGGATAAACTCAGACCTCCATAAATACTCAACGTCATTAATTCCCAACAGCTATTAATATAAAATAATAACATATAAATATTTTATTCAATGAATTATAAAAATAAATTCACATCAAATCAATTTTCAAAATTATACATTGAACACATTCTGTAATATTCAGAACAATTAGCGTGAGACCGAATGTCAAAGCATTATTTTGTAAAATGTAAACACCCCTGAAAGGCAGCAAACAGGAGGAAAAAAATATTATCTGTTTAACTGAACTATGCGCTATCACTCCTTGGTCTCTTAGCTATTCTGATTTTGCATTGTTCACTGTATAATAAATTAAATGTACGTTTTTAATTATTGCATCGTTCAAATGCTTTACGAATGTACTTAAGTCTTTCTTTTATTTGTTTATTATATTTCATCTTCCTGTTTCGTCTTATACGTGTTTTTTGCGTATATTGCCATTTTACATGATTTCTTTTACCTCATGCTTCCTTGTTTTGTTTTCGAAATTTAGAATATTGATTATATTCAACGATGAGCTGAATATAGCTTATCATAACGGCAACAACTGACATCACCCAGGCAAGAATGGGCGATTAGATTGGAGTCTGGCCCAACTGGAATATAGTATGCCCGGCGTAAGGCAGAAGATGAGAGAATATTTAAGCTGCCAGCAGAGAGATATACAGGCGATTGCTATTAAAACGTTGGGAACTGTGTTATACTAATACTGAAAGGATATCGCGAGAAACGTACTTGTTCGATCAAGTGCTAATTTTTACGATTGTGGATAAGGTTATGTAATGGTTAACCCTTAACTGGTGCAATTATTTTTTTACGTATGTGTTACAATGAGGTCAGCGAGACACCGTGATTTGTTTGTCAGCATCTTGTGCATTTTCGTACTAAAGGTAAATCTTTCGCATTACTTACCTTTAAAGATAATTTATTATGTAATAAAATATCCAAACAAATGTATTTGAATGGAAATATTAATAAACAATTATTCTATCCCAACTCGTCGTGGTTATTGACTTTTTCAATAAGACAAACCTGCTTTATTTTATATGGCCACTGCTCCCATTTTAACGTTTTTTAATAATAAACTACCATATTAGATACACCACAGGAAGCCAATTCAGTAAAAAGGTTTCTCTTATTTAAAGAACTTTGCCAAAGCGTAATGTCTTTCTAACCATGTCAATTTCAAGCATAGGAATGAGCAATTGTTTGGTAATCTATTATTTATGTTCTGGTTTAATATCATCATCATCGGTCACTATAATTTCACGAAATCCATTCACATCTAGAATGGTGTCCCATTTCCACTAATAGCGGATTTTACCTGATAAATTTCATCACGAAGACTTGCACATCATCACCAATAGAATTCTGTTAAAATTATTTTTCATGTCACTCCGCGAATGTAAACACACTCTGAACATAAGTTGGCATCTAAAGTATCACAGAAACTTGCAAAGTCCTTGAATCACCGAGAGCAAGAACACTGTTGCAATTGGTTCGATACATCTGTAAGATTCCTTCGAAAATTGGATAGGCTGATAGGATTCAGAGAATATAAGTCTCTGATATTCCACTTCCTGAAACACTGACTGATGGTATTCCCAGGAAGTGTCATCTTTTGAAGGTTGGCGCGACGGTTCATTTTACTTTCGAAACTAGTTCAAGTTCTGCGAAAGAAAGCCACCGGGAAAGTCTCGACACCAGTCATTAAGTCTGTACGGAGACGACTCTAGTGTTGGAGGCATGATGTACGAAAAACGTCGGCACCTAATCGGCACATTTGAATTTTAGCGACATCACGGGGTGAATGAAGGACATTATCTCCTGAGAGCGTAGGCTTCCGCGGCCGGAGTCAGTATTTACTAGGCTGTCCGGGTGACGCCGCGTCCATGGCGAAGGTGCCGACATTTCGGTCGCCATTCTGCGGCCTTCCTCAGGGCGTAACGTCGGCACCTTCTCCATGGACGCGGCGTCATCCGGAGAGCCGAGTAAAAGACATTATCTTTGCTTTTTTAGGCCAATAACGAAGCGCATACATGTACTTGACCAAAGACATCTACACTTTGGTGTTTATAAGTGTAGATGGCGTTGATACAACTCTTTAGCTTTGTGGCCATTGGCCGAACTGCCTTAAAAGTTTTGCCGAAGTCGCTGAAGGGATGTGTGTCCAATTAACTTCATACGTTTTGCATACGTATCCCTACCACCGGAGCACAGCCTCCTTCTTACTGACTTTATAGTACCAGTTAAGGGTTAAATTGACAGTGTTCTTTGTCACACTTGAGGCGAGACGCAAAATGTATGTCCTTTTCGTCGGCGTCGCCATTACTTTTCACAGGTTTCAGAGAGAAAATTTTCTCTCGTTTAAGACGACCGTTTTGAAAAAAATATTTTTTAATGTCAAATTTAGGTCGGACGATAATATCGTTATCACGAAAGTTAACTACTCATTCCAATTAATGTGTGCACTCTCAGTGGTTGAAAGTTAATACAAATTTCAGTTATTCAAGATCCTCTAAAATAAAACAGTTAAACCATATACGTAGTATGTTAAGAGGCAACTAAAGATGAGCATGATTTCTTATCTCTGGTACTATTTGAATATATCGTACTTTAAATGAACAAAAAAGTTGAAAATAACTGTACCAAAAATGCAATAGTTCAAAACATTACAATTAATTGAAAGGATAGGGAATATGTTACTGAAAAAATTGAATTGAAGGTTTTGTGACTAGAGAAAATGCTGTGAAAGGCACTTTCTTTCTGCCGCTATATTGCAGTAACTATTTGAGCAATTTGAATACATTCGAACTACATGAAATTGAGTTTTAACTTTACATTCGTACTCTTTACTCACAATTTGACAAAAATTGAATTATACCCCTTGTGCTCTGGGTCTCTCAATTTCATATTGTGCTTTATAATTCTAAACACCTTAAGTTGGGAGTAATATATTCCTGAATATAATAAAATACTATAAACAGTGACATTTATAATAATGTTTATTTTAAATTATAATAAACCCAGATGTTTACATTCATATCTCTGGAATTACATTATTGCGTTAATACATAATATTGCTGTACAATTTAAATGTGAAGCAAAATTGCGGTATCTAATCTAACATTACTTAATACAAGCGAAAAAAACAACAGTTGTGAGGCTCTAGGAGAAGAGTTTTCCATGGCAACGCGCCATCGAGTAAAGGGCTCTTACTCTCGCTTCCTACGATAACACGAGCTTTCATTTTCCGTCTGGGTTGAGAGTTAGCGAGACCTTACTACATGTAGTCTGCAAAGTTACTTTTATTCCTATGCAATCCCAGAGTCATTTATAACGTACACTGGTGTTTGTAAAAATTGCAACACCCAGAAGAAATGGTCGTAATCACTTAAAAATCTGCAAATGTGTAGAAACGCGAATCCAAAAAAAGTTATTAAATTCGCATAGACATGTGTTGCCCGTTGGCCTCTTTGCGTCCTCTGTGTGGCAGCTCACATCAATTTTACGCCACACTCAGTCGGTGTACAGCCGTCAAACGACGTGGAAATGTGCAAGCACGTATCGGTATGCCTCGTCGACGCCGAAGGGGGCATTCGATCTGAGCCAATTCGAATGGGGCAGAATGACCGGTATCCGGGAAGCGGGATTGTCGTACCGTAACTTTGCTGCTTGAACGGAGCGCTCTGCTACGACGGTCATGTGTGTGTAGAACTAGTGTATAGAGGAGGGTCGTACACAGCGACGAGTGGGTACAAGATCACAGAAGGTGACTATAGTGAGAGATGACCGCCATCTTGTTTGCATGGCGTAGAAGAACTGGTAGAACGCATACCACTGCGTCGGATTCCGTTGCCCAGAAATCAGAAGTCACTGAAGTCGTATGTTATCAGACGTGACGGAGATCTTCCTCCGCTGAATTGTGAGATATTGCGGAGATTTTCCCTTAACTAGGTATTTTTCCTCAGGGGTGGCCAAGGAGGCTTTGCCCCAGTCGGGACGAGCTCTAACCTCCCGACTGGTCTTCGGGCATGTGTGGTGGAGTAGTGCATGTGAGCGGAAGTGTGAGGATAGAACACGAGAAACGAATGATATCGCGCGGTCCTTGATTCTTTTGTTCTACTTCTCCGGCATTCGTCTGGTATTGATCGAAGACACTACAGGCTCAGAAAAGCCGACCGCTGGAATTCTCCCCCGGATAGCTACAGAACTCGATCTAGCTATGTGGGTAGTGTCGAAAATGCTGCCACTGTCAGGATTACGCCCTCCCCGCCAGAGGTTGATGCTCAGCCGCTGGCACAGTCCTGTCCTTCGCAGGTGGAGCAAAGCAAAACGACGGGCAGGACCACGCTGCTCTCCGTGCTGCGAAGGAAGGCTCAGAGAAGAGCGTTCGGCGTCGGGATCCTCCTGATGTCGTGCTCGCAGTTCTCGGGCATCAACGCGGTCCTCTTCAACCTGACGTCCATCTTCGAGGCGGCGGCCGGCCACAAAGAACACGCCATGAAGAGCAGCTTGCTGCAGAGCATTTTCGTCGGCGTCGTGCAGGTACGCGGTGCAACTGCGAAGTTTCTGGAGTTTTCAATTTCGTGTGTCAACAGGTGGTGAAACGGCAGCACATCTACCTCTCATTATTTCTCACTGCTCCGCTCTATAATACTATTACATAAACATGCAAAAATGTTTTCAATCAACAAAAATTATTTTTCACAGAGACTCGAATTCAGGTTCATCGTGTAACATCGCCGTCAGAACATACCATTACGCTATAGAAACACCGTGAGGGTGGAATTCGGGCCGTTGCTTAAAAATGTAATAGTCCCAACCCAATATTTCCAAAATAATTTTTGAAGTTTGAATGATTTCGCTGAAAACGGGATCAATCTGAATACCATTTATTTTAACGTTCCTTAATAATATGAAGAGAACATTTAAAGAAAAAATTTCGAGGTGTTTTTAAGAAAATAAATCGAAATTCCTTAATTTCAGACACAAATCGCGCAAAAAACAATAGATTAAAAAATTATACATGAAATTTTTAAAGAGCTGCTGTTTTTCAACAACTTTGTCTAAGGCAGATATTTCTACCTCCAATTTTGTAGTTTTCAATTGTAAGTTTTCTGATTTTTGAAAAAAAGAAGAGTTCGCCCTAAATGAGATGTGCCCTATATTTTTAACCACTTTTAGAAAAAGATTGGTGTGGTTGTTGAGAAATAATTTTGAACAAAAGTGTTAAATAATGTCGCGCAAAATTAAACGTAAACTACTCACAATTTTTGAAAAACTCAATGTGTCCTTGTTTCAAGATCCGTCTTTAAAGAAAAGATTTCAATAAGGCAAAATCTGTGTTCATTATTGCAGTTGTATCCCCAAAAAAATTTGCAATTTTTGGAAAATTAGAAATTTTAACGAATATGAGACTTGCACCACTCCCTTAAGCTTCATTTACGCTATCCGACGGCAAATTGAAAGAAAACATTTGGAGCCATTTTTGATAAAAATGTTTTGAAATTCATTTAAGTACATTTTTTAAAGTACCCTCAAAAATAAAAATATCCGTTTGAAACTCCCAAAGCTGAAAATTCGTTCAAATCGATCCGAGAAAATCAATTTTACAGAAAATTGGCTGAAGGGTTTAAGATGTAGAGGCAAGCAGACAGACAGACATTTTGTCGTCAATTAATTTTTCGGTATTAAGGACCCGCAAAACATTAGAGTAAAATACACTTACAATGATGGCATTTGTCCGATTTTAAGGGTTAATTCAGAATTTTTGTAAAATTCATAATTACAAAATTTTGCAGACGTCTTCATACACAAAATTGAAGATAGAGATTTTTCCTTCAAATAAAATTCGCTTTTCGTAGTGAGTTCTTTCATTAAGGTCATATATATTATTTAAAATTTTTTAGCAGTTTTCGTGCAATATTGCGAGAAACATGTGCAATTTAAAAAAAATACAAAGCTTGATTTTCTCAAAAACAGCACCATTTTTTTCTTTAAACTTTGGTAGGTTAGTGCTAAATGCACTTTATAAGATGATATAAACTCCATATTGCTCTATCCTTTTGTTGTTGTTTTTTAAAAAGTACAAAAATTTAATTTTTTGATTTGTCGTTAATATTTATACTAGCGGCAATATGTTCACATTATTATATTTATGACTTTATATAATATTATTTAGAATAAATGAAGTTTCACGAAACCTCTACCATTTTCTGTGAAAATGGGCTTAAAATCCGCATTTTCAGAAACGCTCAAACGTCATTTTCGAAAAACGTCTCCAATTTTTTCTTCAAACTTTTGAACAGGTAGTGCTAGTTGCACTCTTTAATATGACATAAAGTCCATTGGGGTATTTTTTGTGTGTTTTGAAAAATTACACAAACGTAATTTATTTGAAAGATCACTCACGCCGTTGGTATGCACATGTCCAACCATTTGTAAACACTATTGTATTTGTTAGTTAAAGTGTTTCAACTGGCCTCAAATGAAGTTTTTCTACACCTCAAAAATGTTCTTTGAAAAAGCTTCATATTTCAAATTTTCAGTATAGCTTAAATGCCAGTTTTTTAGAATCAGCTCCAAAATGTTCAAAAAAGTCTCCGTTCCTGCTTCGGTCTTCCAACATTCGGCATTAATATCGTCAAGGCCATCATTGCTTCTGCCGTATTATGGCTGATGGTGACCGCTAAATCTTAGCCTCGCGGCAATCATGATTCCAATGTACTTCAGATACGGACCCTAATGGATGTCTCCCACATAAATGGTGATGGATTCTCTCCACTTCGTACCAGTGACGAGAATTTCCTCAGTTTTTTGGTCCGCTAAATGCAAGCCGACACAGGTTAACCATCGGCGGACTAAAGATTCTGCTTAATTGGCGATTTCAATGACTTCCTCTATGTTTGTCCACTATAGTCAGTGCTACGTCGTCCGCAAAACCGCACTTTCCGGCATCTGTATTCTGAGATCGCTGTCGTTCAGTATAGTCCACATAGTGGCTTAAGGCGGAGCCCTGTGGAACGCCTCTGGTAACTCTCTGGGTCCGTTGACAATCCTCCTTGCGGTACAACAGAGTTGATCCCGTAAAGGTGCCTAAGACGATTTTAATCAGATATATCTGTGGCACTCTCGTATAATACAGTATGCTCTTAGAATGCAGTTCATCCTTGCGGAATTGAAGGCGTTCTTAACATCCAGACTAAAAATAGCGCAATTTGTTTTCCTGCCACATCTCCATCTTTTGTTTTACCATCTTTGAGTATGTCTGTCTATGGATATCAAAAGAAATCATAGAGACCCTGTCACATGTCTGGAGTCCGGGCGTTTTTCTCATAAAGGAGCTGCCGATGATATTAATAAGATGTGGCACTCTCGTATAATGCAGAGCTCTTAAAATGCAGATCCATCTTGCCGAATTGAAGGCGTTCGAAACATCTAGACCAACAATAGCGCAATTTGTTTTCCTACCACTTCTCCATCTCTGTGTATGTGTCTATCTGTGGGTATCTAATAAAATCATAGAGTCCTTGTCACATGTCCGGAGTCTGAGCGTTCTTCCCGTAAAGGAGTTGTCGATGATATTAATAAGATGTGGCACTCTCGTATAATGCAGAGCTCTTAGAATGCAGTTCCATCTCGCCGCATTAAAGACATTCTCAATATCTAGAACGATAGCTCAATTCATTTCCTACCCCTTCTCCATCTTTTGTCCGGCCTCTGTGTGTATGTCTGTATGTGGGGACCTAATGAAATCATAGAAACCCTGTCACATGTCTGCGCAGCAATCTTTCAACGAGTGGGAAGGGGAAGGAGCGTGACAGCCGCGGTGCGTGGGCTCAGGTGGTGGCGACGGTGCCGGCCATGTTCGTGGTGGACCTGCTGGGGCGGCGCCTGCTCATGATGGCGTCCATGTTCGCCATGGGGGTGGGCCAGGCGCTGCTCTTCGTCTACTTCTTGCTGGAGGAGCTGTGGGGGGACAGCCTGGCGCCCGGCTTGGGCTGGCTGCCGCCCGTCGGCCTCGTCCTGTTCATCGCCAGCTTCTCCGTGGGGCCCGGCCCCATCTCCATGGCCATGCTGGGCGAGATATTCTCCGAGGACGCCAAGAGCGTCTCCGCGCCCGCCGCCACCATTTTCGACTTCGTGAGTGGACGCCGCCTGCGCGGGGCGGGCGCGCACTACTGGGTTATCTTTGATATGGGGCCGGTTGAGGTAGAGCAGACCGACTGAGGTACACATCTAGCGGCACGACCAAGAAAGACCCGAACTGCAGTGGCCAGCTTTATAAAAGACGGGCGCAGCTTTATAAAAATCGCACTATAGCTGTATTGCTCAATCTGGAGAATTATACCTACCGACTGCTCTGATCGGTAGTTGTCCGTGGTTTCTCCGATCGACACCAGGAGAAAGCCGGAGAAGTATCTTAACAAACGGGCCACGGACCGAGAACGATCTTTCCTTCAACTTCTATCCTCACACCCTTACATACACACACTAACACTTCCTCTCTCTACACTATCACATATGCCGAGAGACTAGTCGGGAGCTTAGAGCGTATGCCGGCTGGGGCGGTGAGCCGCTGGAAGGCGATATCTGGATGGGGAAAATTCCACAAGCCGACGGGGAGGTGGTACCAGACCTCGCCACAAAGCGAGGGAACCGCCACCTCCGGCGATATAGAACACGCACTACACTTGTCGGACTAATACCCTTAGCAGGTGTTTCCCCCAAAATCACTAATCAATCAATCAAATATTCTACATACTCATATTTTGGAGGAAAGATGAGCTGATGCCTTGTAAGTCTCACCCCTTCCCTCAAGTAGGCGCCATTGGATTTTTATTGTTACAAATTTTTAACTTAAAGATCAATCCTCACATATGCCTGCTTGATATGGAACAACGCCGCACGAACTAACCTAAATAACATATTAGTAATTGTAACCCCTACGAGTATGTCTGTCTGTTAGGAACGGGAATGGTAATTTCAATAATAATGGTCAAAAACATTTGCGTTAACAAACATTTACTTAAAAAAATTGATGCTGATGATGATGATGATTTACAATTATTTTACAATTTTTAATAAAAATATAAAACGACCCTTTCTTTT